GTCCTGGGGACCCTTCTGTCCAACAATCCAAACAGGTGGACCTGGTGACAGGTCTGTCCCGCAATCCAAGCATAAGGACCCTTCTGTCCCACAATCCATGCATGTTGTATTGGGGCCCTTCGTCTCTTTATACGAGCTATGAAAATTGGTCATGTTCAAACTGCCTTCAGTAGCTTCACGTTATTACAAGTGATAGGATCTAGTGACAACACACAGACCACTCTGACCAAACCCTTTTACCCCATGCACCAGTATCTCGTTATAAACTGTGATAGCACAGGGGCTTTATAAAATTACAAAGGTTTATTTAGATGGCAGTTTCCTCACGCAACTTGAAAAGAAACAAAAACATGTATTCTGATGAGCTGCAGGATGTACATTACTTTCCTGACATTGGACAGCCTTCCTGACACTAGACAGCCTTCCTGACACTAGACAGCCTTCCTGACACTGGACAGCCTTCCTGACACTAGACAGCCTTACTGACACTAGACAGCCTTCCTGACACTAGACAGCCTTATAAACACTGGACAGCCTTCCTGACAATAGACAGCCTTCCTGACAATAGACAGCCTTCCTGACACTGAGCAGCCTTCCTAACACTAGACAGCCTTCCTGACACTGGACAGCCTTCCTGACACTGGACAGCCTTCCTGACACTAGACAGCCAAACACATTATGGTGAAACAATCTGAACATGTTGAAGAATGGACATCATGTGTTGCAACTGCTTGAAAGACCAGAGTCACCATCATAAATACAAAGAAGAGTCATCAGGAGATCCCACAGGTCAGGTGGAATTTGGAAATGGAGTTAAGCTACTTATACCCCAACATTGGTTCATTGCCATTGGATACCTTCAGTTCAGCGAAGAAACAAGTAATACTATTCAGTATTTTTCAAAATCCCAAATCATCAAGTTTCGACAAGAAATATGTAACGGTCTTGGAGTTCTGCTCCGAAACGCAAAGCATTCATTTGTTATGACTAATGCCCAGCTTTGATTCCCAACGTGTGCAAAGTGTGAAACTCATTTCTGGTGTCCCCCAGTGGATATGGCTGGAATATTGCTCCAGTGCTCAAGTGCCACAAAAAAGTCTCTACATATTCATTCTTCACAGGGGCGGTCGGGTAGCCTAGTGGTTAAAGCGTTCGCTTGTCACGCCGAAGACCCGGGTTCGATTCCCGACATGGGTACAATGTGTGAAGCCCATTTCTGGTGTCCCCCGCCGTGATATTGCTGGAATATTGCTAAAAGCGGCGTAAAACCATACTCACTCACTCATTCTTCACAACTCTAACTAGACCCCACAATTTGTGCTGCTGCCAAAGTATGCCATAAACATCTGATATTCTACTGATATCTGACATCATCTAGGGAAATCTCTCACACCACCTGTGCCTTTTTCAAGACTGTAACCTTTGCAATACAGCCTGGGTCATATGTTTACACATTCCCCCATCACTTACCCTGCATTGTATAAACCAGTGTGTCTTACACAGAGGCAGAGAGGTACAGAAGGATGGGAACATATGGCGTCACAGGTCCGACCACACACACTCAGTCTACCACCAATCGCACCAGCTGGCCATTGTGCCAGTCTTCTGTATCAGACATAATTGTCAACACATTGTAAACATAAAATCACAGAGTTTAGTTCAACGCCTCTTTGAAAAGGATTTCATTCATATTGCAGCTTGATGTGAGAGGGAAGCCTAAAGTGATGCAGGTCGGAGTAGCAAATGCAATTATGCAAATAGCTTCTAAGCCCTATATTTTGTGCCTAACAGAGGATTTGCAGTGTCAGCAAAATCTTCCTCATCTTAATCCAAGGCTTATTTATATACTGCCAAAAAAACATGCGAACCATCGAAAGATATGGAGTAGTATGAACGTTAAAAAGACATGTTTCCAATGTGTTCCACTTCATGACAAAACTAACAATCAGTCAAGTGTTACCAGAGAGTGTCTTTCATCTTATCAAGATATGCTGCATGTGACTTCCAAACTTAATAGGCTAATTCGCGCTAAAACACAAGACAAATGATGCATCTCGAGTTTCGGATCTATGACGTCACATGTGATGCGTTCATGAGCATTGATTCACACAACATAGCATGATGTTCGTTTGTTCATCAAACCAATCTGATATCTCTTGACTATGAGTAATTTTTCATGTATTACTCAACATGTATGGTACTCAAGTTTCTTTTGTTGAACATTCTTGCAATAACTGGGTTCTGCAACTAGCGTGTCTATGTTCACATTTGGATCATAATTCGCATCATTCCAACTCATAGAATCTTAAAGGATTTCAGGTTACTGGTGCCACACCAAATTACAAAAGACCATTTAGAAGCACTGAGAAGGAATTACATGATATGTATCATAGAAGAAACAGACTTTCAGAATTCCCAAACATACGTCTAGATGCTATCTTGAAACAATAAATGTAATAAAGGAGCATAGAACTCACTACCGAGACAAGACGCGTATGTAAGCATTCCCAACATAACGAAAGGCAGTCCCACTAGACTGGTGTGTGGTGATTACCTTTGGGCCACGTTTTTTATCATAAGAACAAACAGTCTGATGCTTCAGTGGAGATGGAAGGCAGTTCATGTCTGTCAGTGTGTGTCTGTTGGTGTAGCCCTATCATACATAAGACAAACAAAACTTCCCACACCCAACACTTCAGATAAGGCTGATGAGGTTAAATAATGCTAATCAACTCGCCTCAATCAAATAAGAGTGCTTTTTTTCCTTTTTTTGTTGTTTAATGCCGCACTCAGCAATATTCCGGCTATATGATTGGTTTGTTGTTTTACGCCGCACTCAGCAATATTCCAGCTATATGATGGGGGTCTGTAAATAATCAAGTCTGGACCAGACAATCCAGTGATTGACATCATGAACATCCAACCAGGCAATTGGGCCACGATGACATGCATCAACCAAGTCAGCAAGCATGATCACCTGATATTTTCTTTGTTGATGAAAATGGACAAAATTGGCTACCGCACATCAAGTATCTTCCACAGAAGGGGACAAGATCAACAGCCATGCATGCGGACATGATGTCAACTTTAGGACATGGTGCTCCTTCATTTGCCACTGTTACGAGGCGAAGAGAGCGCCCCAAAGGTGATCCTAGATCATTCTCAGCAATATTCAGCAGTACTTAGCAATATTCCAGCTATATGACGGCGTTCTGGAGCAGACAATCCAGTGATTGACATCATGAGCATCGAGCCAGGCAATAGGGAAACAATGACAATCATTAACCAAGTCAGTGAGCCTGACCATTGCTGAACGCATATTCTTCCCCGGATCTTTCTACAAAATAACAGACTGCCATTAACATAGTCTCTGATACAGTCTCTAGACAAAGCGCAATCCCCCAAACAAGTCGCAGTAATCAGGATTCAAAGAATGTATGGCAATAGATATTGGGAAGAAGATACTATAGAAATAGTCACAGAGAGTGTACTTAAAGTTTCAAGTTCAGGGGACAACAGGGACCTTGAAATTTATCGCTCTTCTATATGATTCTGTTACTTCATATATTTTCAGTCACAAGAGCAGTGTGGATGATGTGTTGTTGAGTGTAGGACTGAACCTTGAAAGGCTTTCTTACCTTATTTTGTATTTATGCTATTCCCACGCCTGTAATATTTGTGAGTAAAGATCTAGAGAATCTCACCCTCGTGTCTTTTTATATATCAACATGAGTGGATAAAAGTGGAAAAACTTCAAGGTTGGATATTAAAAGACACGAGGGTGAGATTTTATTTATTATCAACATCATTCTTCCAAGGTTTTCAGTTTGTAGACAGTAATCAGCAGTGTCTTAAGTGTAAAAAGTACTTCTAACATCTTCAGTAGCAGAGCCATTAGTGATGTCATTTGATTGTGACATCATGGTAACCAATGATGTCACAATGGTCTGCAAAGTATTGTGATGCAATTTCATGGCAGCGATATCTACAATGTAGATACCGCTTCATCTCATCCAAGCGACATCTCCTGTGGGAGCCAGTTTTGGATGATAAAATGTGTACAATGTTTCAGCAGTATAGGGCCATGCTTCGAGACAGGCTGTTGTCTGCTTGTTCTTAGTTCAGATCGACAACCCACTCCAACATTGTCCTAACCTAAGAGCTTGGCTACCTGTAGATTTAACTGCTAAACTGAATTTGGAACCCAACTTCCTCAGTTTAAGGAAGTTTAAGTGCTCACAGATGATGTAGACTGGTATTGCATGAATAAGCATGACAAATAATTTGTCTACAGAAGGCTTTGTATGTCTAATATCTTTTCCAATCAAAAACAGTCTTGATGGTCGAACAACTTGAAATACTTTGGGAAGTCAAGTTTCAAGGTCTCTCAAAGAGATTGTGTGGACTCCTTAAATCATATTCTATGCTCAGGACATTTCCATGATTTATTTCTTTTCACCAGAGCCATTTAATTTATTACTACCAAACCTTTAAAAAATCTTTGAGACTATTGCAACGACCTACTACTCTGAACACCTGCAATCATCCACAAACTGCTGATCATTCCCAATCTACTGCGATCGGGAAAATGACAATTGGGAAAATGCTCCTATTATTTCCTATACATCTGGCAATAATCTGGACAAAAAACAATACAATATTGATGATGTGATTTAGAATCTTTAGTTTTGAGAGTGAGTGTGGTTTTACGCCACTTTTACAAATATTCCAGCAATATCACGGCCGGGGACACTAGAAATGGGCTTCACACACTGTACCCATGTCAGGAATCGAACCCGGGTCTTCGGTATTACGAGCGAACGCTTAAACCACCAGGCTATACCCGACCGCCCCTCAGTTATATTATGAGACAAAACAAAGATACATCCATATCTAAATAACAACAACACAATATTGTTATATTTAAAAATATTATTCTTTTTAAGTTTATTTTGTCATATTTGTTTCACTGACCATGCCTTTTCTATTTATCTTTTCAGATGATGAACCAAGAGTGAAGCTCATGTAGAAATACAGCAGCAGATACACAAACATTCAAAATGGCCGACATGCAGCGTCTGCTCGTTTGCCTTTCCTTTGTGACAGCAACAGCACTAGCTTCTACTCCAGTATGTCCAGCAAAGTGTCGATCTTGTCAAAACAACATCACAGATTGTTCCATTATGGAACTGGCAAACCCACCAAAAGATGTAGACAAAAACACAAAGATTTTCAACATTGGTGGAAATGCTTTAAGGGTTCTCGGTGAAAATTCCTTCAGCAAACTACCAAATGTTGAAGTCTTAAAGGCAAGTGGAAACCAAATCAGAGTTGTGAAGAAAAAAACTTTCAAGAATGTTCCCAAACTCATGACCCTTGACCTGTCTAACAACAGAATTGGAAGAATGTACTCTCAATCCTTGATGGGGCTATCAAATCTTAAAACTCTAAACCTGGCCAACAACAATCTTCAAACAGTGACCCAGATCTTAGATGTTGTTCCCACATTGTTCCAACTCAATCTTGGATCCAACAAAATAAAAGTCCTCCATGCTAAAACCTTTTACAAGAATGTCCATATGCACTACCTTGACTTGAGGTACAACAAGCTTGTCAGAGTCCATCAAGATGCCTTCAAACATCAGAAATATTTGCGCTACTTGTTCCTCAACAACAACCCACTGGCTAGTCTTCCTGCACTCAATATGGGCAGCCCGAATCTTCAACTGATTGACTTTTCTCACTGTCAGCTGAAGAAGGTCCCTCAAGGAATCCCCCCTTCTGTTTCCGACCTTCGTCTTGGTCATAACAATATAGTTGAGATACGTAAACGGGATCTTGAAAATATCACCAGACTCCGTATGCTAACCTTAAACAACAACAAAATCAACAGAGTGGCATTCATGGCTTTCTCAAAGCTGAAGAATCTTCAGGAGATTTGGCTGAGAGACAATGATCTCATCTATATCCCTCGAGGATTGCCAGACAATCTCAGAAAGCTTTACATGGACTCAAACAATGTGGTTGATATCCAAAAAGCCCAATTTGCAAACACATCCCAACTGGAATATTTCACAGTTGAGAAAAACAGAGTCCAAACAATCGAAGCAGGTTCCCTGTCCAAATTAAGGTTCCTGAAATATCTCAACCTTCAAGGCAATGGAATATCAACCATCTCCAAAGGCATGTTCAGCAACATACGAAACCTGACCACACTCACTCTTTCCAACAACCCAATCAACAAAATTGAGAGTGGAGCTTTTAAAAATCTGGAGAACCTGACATCCCTTTACATGTCCTATGTCCCACCTTCAGATGAGTTTTCCCTGGAGGACAACTTCCTTCCAGGAATGCCAAATCTTGAAAAGCTTGGCCTGATGGGCAGTCAAAGTCTCGCTCTGCAGCTACTCCAGATCATTGATGACACACCAGTCATGCAGCACCTGACCGAGCTGGATCTGACCTTCAACGACATCCAAACCCTCCCACCCTCTGTGCGGAGGGTCTTCCCTAAGATACAGGCCCTGTCCATTGATGGCAACATCCTTAATTGTGACCACCGACTTCTCTGGCTGGCAAAGTGGATGAATGAATCAGATGTCAAATTCTTTTCTTATGAAGAACCACTATGTGAGGAACCAGAAAACAACAAAGGAAAACTGCTCACCGATGTTCCAGAGACAGATTATGTCGAAGTAAAACAAGAATTACCTCCCCCTCCACCAGTGCAAGAAGATGACACAAGGAAAGTTGAGGTGGCAGAGGAGGTGGCAGAGAAGGTGGCAGAGAAGGTGGAAGAACCAGTCCAGAAGCTGAAGGTTGTGCAAGTCGAGAGAGTTGAGAAAATCAAACAGAGACGTAAAGGCCTAAATCCAGCACACAGGGTGGTGAACGTACCAGCCAAAGCTGCAGCAACAACAACAACAGCAGCTCCTGTAGCATCCAGAGTAGAGGCAACAACAGCAAAAGCTCCTCAACGTGTTGGCAGACGTCAAAGGCCAACCAAAAACAAGGCAGCCAACAAAAGACAAAGGCGACTGAGGAACAGAAGACGAAAGAAGACTGATAAGAAACGTCGAAGGAAAAGGCGTCACCGAAAGACGGAGGATGACAGGCAGAGAAGATATGGAAATGGCCGGAAGAGGAACAGGAACAGGAACAGGAACAGGAACAGATCAGCAACAGCTGCACTGGCAGCTTAAATGACATGGTGCGTTTTTTAAACCATTACACTTTTAATGACCAATAGTGATGGATTCTTGAAATAGGACCATGTACTGAATATATAATCCACAAATTATGGTTCCATAAACTTTTACAAATGAGGCAGAGTTCAGTCTTCGCAATCATTCTAATGACCAAGGTAAATGAAATGTTTCGAACAGTTATCACATACTACGGATAAAAGACTTTGCTAAATGAGACAGAACATGGTCTTAGCAATCACAACACTTCTAAAAACCGATGAAGATGATTCTTGAATAGTTACAATGCACTATGGACCTATTACGTTAACTCCGAAACAAACACAGTGTGAAAAGAACTGCAAACACATTATTCAAGGAAGATGTTTGATTCAACTCATCTACTTGAAAACCAGCATAGTGGGGTGATGCTGGCAAGCATAATGGACCAAGGACTTGCGATAAGCCCGAACAAAGACATTTGACTCTAAAGCAGAGATGGAAACTGATATCAAGTATTTTTTAACCATGTAACACACCCTATCCTCCGAACAACCACAACAGTATTTAGGCTTCATTTTCAAAATTACAAATAAACCACTTGGAACTTGTTTGGGCATCCAGGGATGCAACGTAACCTGAATATTCACTAGCCCTGAATAGTGATAACGTATAAGGACAACCCGTCATAAGCCTAAATTTCAAAATTTCAACTAAAGAGTAGACTAAAAGACTCGGGAAAGCAGCTAGTGCCTATAGACATTGGCCATTCATCATATTGGTAGCAGCAGTAGCAAATATATGTTAATATCATAGCCAATGTGAAGCTAAAAGATATTTTTAAATAAGCCTTATTAATTACAGAAATATTTGTTTCATAGACATAATTGAAACAGCTCTTCTCAGCAAAATTGGATGTATATTTATCCAAAGGCACAGAATTGTGGATACATTATAGTATCATAGTATCTTGTATTGTAGGCCACACCAATTTACTTTCTTCTTTAGAACTGGCAAAGAGGCATGAGGTAAAAATTAAAACAAAACGTTTCAGGGTTGAGTTGACTTTAGTCTCCTTTTCAATTCAAATTTTAATGAAATACAAACAAAGCAACACTATTAAACAGAAAGCAATTTGGTCTAATACTTTCAAACTTTCAAATTTGGCATGTCATCTTTAAAACAAGAAAAGGAGTTGGTGTGTCCTGAATAGGATGTGAGTTCACGTTACAGGCAGCTAGTGAGACGTTGCTGAAGCAGAGCGTTCCTCTCTGCCAGGCAAGTCACACCTGGCAAGCAGGAAATAGATGCTGAGTCGGCTGGTTTAGAAATCATCACCTTCATTAGAATGCTTCTTGAGAATCCTCCACACCCAATATCCTTGCATTAACAGGCCATTACCACTGTGCCAGTACATATACACATCTCTCGTAAAGACAGAAATAGCCCAGCTGAGTATTGGAACAAGGCGTCATCACCTCCTGTCAACTCATCTTCTTGTTGCTAATGTTTAAAAAACATTCATTTGGCTACGAAAAACTCATTATTTGTTAGTAGAAATTATCGATTAATTTACCAATGTCCCAAAATAATCTCCACAATACTTACTGAAATATCTATCTGAAATAGTTTTGCTAAAATATCTATCTGAAATAGTTTTGCTAAAATATCTATCTGAAATAATTTTGCTGAAATATCTATCTCAAGTAATCTTGCTGAAATATCTACCTGAAATAATTTTGCTGAAATATCTATCTGAAATAGTTTTGCTGAAATATCTATCTGAAATAATTTTGCTGAAATATCTATCTCAAGTAATCTTGCTGAAATATCTATCTGGAATAGTTTTGCTGAAATATCTATCTGAAATAATTTTGCTGAAATATCTATCTCAAGTAATCTTGCTGAATACCTATTTAGTAAATGCTTAATGCCAATAAATAACGCTCTTTTCACAAACAACAAAAATCTATTCAAGATCATGTAAATTTGTCACTGTTTCCTAAAGTCAGGATTTGACAAATAACAAACCATCCCACATAACCCGACCCACCAGAACCCCAGCTGCTTGACATGTTCAGTTGTAAATGCATGACCTATTGTGAGTCAAATGTATGTAGAAGCTTTTGTATTTGTAATAAAACTATCAGAACATTCTTCCTTTTCTTTCACACATATAACAATAGTTACCATTGACAATAATTGTCAAATTGTTATTGTCAATGAAAACTACCTCTATTACATCAGTCAGAAAACTTGTATTTGCTGTCATCACACTTAACAAATCGTCAGATTTTCAACAGAAGTCTTCTTCCTTGTTGACTATCCACAGCTAGTTGAGATACTAACAGTACCTCCCTTCGTAAGCCTTAAGGAGTTCTAGCAATGACGCAATTGAGGTTCTTTAAAGTGATTATTATTTTGCATAGCCCTATGAACTAAGGCATCACAATTTGCTGTGAGCCTGGCGTCCAATAAGAGACAATGTCAGTTTGACACAATGGAGTAAGAGCCCTCGTAGAGAGTGGATCAAGCTGTTTGAATGTTGAAGCATGTGGCAGAACAACGGTTGTGTATTTATTCACCTGGGGAATTCCATGGGTTTTCCCCAGGAATGTGGAATTTTCCAGAATACATCTCATCATTTGCAGAATACATCTCATCATTTGCAGAATACATCTCATCATTTGCAGAATACATCTCATCATTTCCAGAATACATCTCATTTCCAGAATACATCACATCATTTGCAGAATACATCTTACCATTTGCACAATACAATCTCATCATTTGCAGAATACATCTCATTATTTGCAGAATACATCTCATCATTTGCAGAATACATCTCATCATTTCCAGAATACATCTCATCATTTGCAGAATACATCTCATCATTTGCAGAATACATCTCATTTCCAGAATACATCTCATTTCCAGAATACATCTCATCATTTGCAGAATACATCTCATCATTTGCAGAATACATCTCATCATTTGCAGAATACATCTCATCATTTGCAGAATACATCTCATTTCCAGAATACATCTCATTTCCAGAATACATCTCATCATTTGCAGAATACATCTCATCATTTCCAGAATACAGTCTCATCATTTTCAGAACACATCTCATCATTTGCAGAATACATCTCATCATTTGCAGAATACATCTCATCATTTGCAGAATACATCTCATTTCCAGAATACATCTCATTTCCAGAACACATCTCATCATTTGCAGAATACATCTCATCATTTCCAGAATATAGTCTCATCATTTCCAGAACGCATCTCATCATTTCCAGAATACATCTTATCATTTCCAGAATACAGTCTCATCATTTCCAGAATACATCTCATCATTTCCAGAATACAGTCTCATCATTTGCAGAATACATCTCATCATTTGCAGAATACAATCTCATCATTTGCAGAATACAGTCTCATCATTTGCAGAATACATCTCATCAATTGCAGAATACAGTCTCATGAAAAAATGTATGAACGTCAATATGTATCGAGTTCATTGGAGTATGAACCTTCACTGAGTGAGAGCCAAACTGTCCGAACATTTCTAGCACTATTTGCCTACACCATTTTATTGCAAAGGTGAGGTATGATCTCAGTGTCCCCATACTGTATATATGATGTATAAATGCTGATAACGAACTTTGGTTATACTAAAAGTAGCAGTCCCTTTGAGTTCGTTATAACCGTAGTATACGGTAGTTCCAAGAAGCATGTGATACTGTAAAACGTGAAATTAATGCGTCTCCAAAAGAATGCGACCACTGGCCCCTAGCCAAAAATGCGACTCAATATGAATGCGACACCCCCTCCTCTCATGCATCAGTGGATTTATATCTAAACAAAATGTCCTCGAGAATCCTCACCTTAATCCAATCTTATATTAATCCAATCACACACCAAATAGCACTGCTTATTAGCACTGAGTAGAGTACTTCAGCTAAAACAATACGTGCGCGCTGGCTCGTGTCGGCCTTCGATGCAGTCGCAAAGAGCAAAGACACCGTGTTGGGTGGCGTCTGTCTGGACTTGCAGGTGTGATCAGTGATGACATGAGTGAGTAGAACGCTGGTCTTGACCCTAGCAGTGACAATTCACAGGATGTAATTAGTGTTTGAATGACATTGTTTATATACTTGTTACAAGTGCTGCTCAATAAACATTGATGTGGAATACATAGTTGTTTGTTTTCAGCGCATGTCTAAGTTGGCATTTCTGCTATCCAAAATGTCTTCTTGTTGATATAAATGCGATGTTTAATAATGCGAGCAAAGACAACTCGCATTTTTCGCATTTAATTCACGCTCGCGTTAATTTCATGTTTTACAGTAATATTAGCACTTGTATGTTCAAAATGTAACACCCTTTTTAGTTTGGTTACAACAAATAGATTTGAAAAAGATCCCCCATTTTGTCACGAAACGCCTGGGATTTCTGGCAAGCCAAAGGGACACAACTCTGCACAATATACAGTGAAAATGTGTTGTTTATACACTCATGGACATCAGCTTCGCGATCATTTGAAAAGCCCTTCATCCAGTAAGAAATCTGTATATCATGTCGAAAAACCAGCCTCTTGTCCAATAGGAAAGCTGCATATCGTGTAAACGTCACATTAAATATTATCGTAACATGAACAAAGTACCCTCTTATGCACTTTTTCACTCAAAATGAAATGATTGTCTTGCAAACAAATATTGCAGCACATATCATATGATTATTAAGTGCATCCTTCCAACTCTCCACATGCATACAGCCAGCCACACCACGGCGTCTGTGTGGTCCATCCTCCCACACATGATCCTAGCAACCAACAGGATTCAGAGAAGAGACCAAGAGGAGATATGTATGTGTATGTGTCGTACAATGAAATATGTTCTCTTGTGGTGCAAAAGAAATCATGCAATAACTGTCATTGGTTAATTTCTGATTCAAGAATCACACCAAAACAAATTTCAGTCATAACTTCACAACACTGTAATAAAAAACAAACACAATCTTACCAGACGTGCAAACATGCAGATTCCATCAGTCTTTGAACTAGAATGTGCCTGCCTCTTAACATGGTTGGTATCTCTTTCAGCAAATTTACCACTTTTCACTAATATACTGATGAAAAGAAGTAAGGGAACAGATGCAAACGGAAACATTTGTTTGATGAGATATTCTGCATGACAATCACTTGCTTGACAACGTTATCAACACAAGATGCTATCAGTTTCCTCCTTGTCTTATCGTGTTGATTTGAATCGAAGCTTTGTTTATTATGTACTGAATATGCTGTAAACTATATTATGATTTACTGCTATGTGTTCCTTTATTTCTTTCCATCAGTATATACGGCCATATTCATGGTTGTGTAGGAATGAGTTGTTATATGCTGCAATACGCAATATTGCAGCTATATCACAGCTTCCTCTAAATAACCAGTGGTTGAAAGCATGAGCATTGGGTCACGATGACACACAATCAGCTGGGCCATAAATGTAACCACCCGATCCTCAATTGTCAGCTCAGAAAAGTTTGGTATACACGAAACCGATTCTATCCTGGAACCTCCACAGGGATGGGGGTACACGGAGCTGATTTTGCCCTGTATCCCTGCTTGACTTATTTTGTCCTGGAATCCCCATGGGGACAAGCATAAGATACTGGGGACTTATTTTGTTCTCGAATCCCCATGGGGAGACAAGCATGGGGTACTGGGGACTCCTCCCCACCAGGAATCTTTTCTATTGAGATGAGTTTGGAAGACTGTATCTAATGATGCTATTTGTACAGGACTCACCATTTTCTGTACGAGTGTGTGGCGTTCTTCCATCTCCTTCCGCTCCACCTTGGCTTTAGAACTCAACTCTTCCACCTAGAACAGACATGATGGCACCTTACAGATTCACTTCTCCATAATGCAAGGACTGCTGTCTGTCACAAATGTTTCCACTTACTTGCCTGAGTCCCTTCCATAGAGCAATCTTAGTGCTAAGACGATCATAACACCTTCCTTTAAGATGAACCTACGACAGTCATACCGCTAAGATCCCTTTGTGGTGCAGAGTCTCATAACACTAACACAGAAAGAGAGAGTGTTTTTAACGCTGCTTTTAGCAATATTTCAGCAATATCACTGTGGGGGACACCAGAAATGGGCTTCACACATTGTACCCATGTGGGAATCAAACGAGGGCTTTCGGTGTGAGGAGCGAACACTTTAACCACTAGGCTACCCAACCGCCACCTTAGCACTAAGACAATCATTCCTCCTCCCACATAGAGTGTAGTTAGTCGTAGCACTAACATGTCAACATGTCACAATGAGTTTTACTAATACTATTTTCCCCCAAAACAGAAGCTGGCTAGTGGTTAAAGACACATACAATTAGTTTACAACATACAATTACTCCCAACTGACGAGAACATACTGGTCAAGGGAGACAACTCACCTGTGTAGCCATCTTTCGATCTGCGCTAATATTTTAGCAGACGATCGTGCGGGAGATGTTGGTTTTATGTTGTATATTTGTTACCAAATGCAAAATATTTCAAGTTAGCCAAACAAAACACCAGACATTGTCATGACATGTATTAAAATTGCTTGTGATTGTTTGTAAATGTCTCTCGTTTTCACGAGATTCCTACAGTTCTGCTTCGTAGTTGTAAAGAGTTGTGAAAGCGAGTGAGTGAGTGAGTTTGTTTTTACGCCGCTTTTAGCAATATTCCAGCAATATCACTGCGGGGGACACCAGAAATGGGCTTCACACATTGTACCCATGTCGGGATTCGAACCCGTGTCATCGGCGTGACGAGCGAACGCTTTAACCACTAGGCTACCCGACCGCCCCTGAAAGCGAGTGAAGTCATACTGGTCAAGGGAGACAACTCACCTGTGTAGCAACATCTTTCATGTACTTTTCCAAATCACTGAACAGGTCATCTCCCTGGTGGAAGAATGTGTTTTGTGCGTGCATAAAGGACAGCATCTGAAAACACAACAAACCATACTTTAATTGGGATCATAACAAAAGCTGAACTCTCAAAACTCAGTATTTGACGTGCATATTACAAAACAAGGTGAGGTGAAATGGTGTTTAACGTCGCGTCGAAGATTATTGCACTTATATAGCGACGTGCATGTACGTGTATGTGTGTGTGTGGCTGCTTGTACTAGTCCGGACTGATGCCGATTTATAGTGCTAGCTCACTGAGATACCATGCCGCAGTTTAACATTAATACCCCACTCAGACACAGTATACTGACTCCGAGCCGACCAGTCCTTGTTTTAGCCCCTTAATGCCGAGCGCCACACAGAATAACAACAAGTACCATCTTTTAACGTCTTTTGGTATGACACGGCTGGGGATCGAACCCCGGACCTTCCGCTCTCTGGGCGGACGCTCTACCATTAGACCACGGAGGCGGTCCTATTACAAAACAAAAGTATTAATCAAAACAATAAGTTTTTCAAGTATATCATAAAAAAGCTGTATGTTTCATAACAAATTCCCTTTACATATTATAACAGAAGCCAAATTTATCTTACACACCTTTTATTTTAATCTTTAATCTTATTTTCTTTTTATTAGTATCATATCCAAGGCTCAGTTCTTCACAGCTTTCAATTTTTGATGTGTATTAAAACTGTACAAGCCTCTGGATATGGAAATACCATACATTATTGATGTTTATAGCTAATATGGATAGAATTATCATTAAACAACCCGCATGTTATCAGAAATGAGCAGGCCACTATAACTTGATAATGCCCTCATATTACTTGACGACGGGCCATTATCACGCTCGTTGTTTGGTGACGTCATACTGACATTCAACACTCACGTCATCTGGTTTGTTCTATGACGTTTCCATTCTTGTAAAAGTGGGTCTGTGAGATTCGTGTTGATTGCAGTAAATGTTTAAAAAACCGAAAATGTTTATTTTTATTTGATAACAAATTCTATCCATTTTAGCTATAATAACGGTAACGCTATTTTTCAGGGCATTATCATTTGCAGAAGCCCTCGGTCGTTTCAACTGCCCTCCTTTGTCCTGCAGTTAATGGGAGACCTCAGTCTTCTGCAAATGACAATGCCCTGAAAAATAGCGTTACCCTTATAATATGACAAATGAGTTCTGTGTTGAGTATAACTGTGTGCCGGTGAATTATTTCTGCAATTGTATATTTGATCAGTATACTCACTGTGTCTAGTACTTCAAACCTCTTCTTCGAATGCAGAACATTGATCTGAAAGAACAAAAGTCCCGTCATAATCAAGCATGACTACACGAGAGAGAGTGTGCTAAAACACAAAACTGTTCACGGGTGAGATCACAATGAAATTACATCACAGGGCTTTGTGCCCACAGTGACATCATTGGTTACCATGGTCACAATCAAATGACATGCTATAGAAGGGACATAACTTGAAATAGCCACTGGTGGCGCTATGATCAAGCCCAGAAATTCCAGCCTAGATCGGCAAGGGTGCAAACTGGACTTTTACAGTTAGTTAACTCCCACAATCATAGGTTTCTGGCGTGCCCAAAGGGATGCAACTCTGCACAGCGAATCGCGGCGCCTTAGATGACTGGGCCACCCGTGCCTCCTGTGGGAGGAAAGTGATGAAGGTCTCAGACGTTTACCACTTTGGTGAAACCCACAAGCAAGGGTATGGTGCTGACAAACCTAGAAACATAATCAGAGTGAACCGGGATTCGAACCCTCAATCATAGGTTTCTGGCATGCCCAAGGGACGCAACTCTGTACAGCGAATCGCGGCGCCTTAGACAACTGGATCACCCGTGCCCCCTGTGATGTGATGAAGTTTACCACTTCGGTGAAACCCACGAGCATGGGTATGGTGCTGACAAACCTAGAAATATTATCAGGGTGATCAAAGGTATCGGGCGTGCCCAAAGGAGGCAACTCTACACAGCAAATTGCGGCCCCTTAGACAACTAGCAATCAGTGCCCACCAGACTCCTGAGAAGATTGCACAGGTCGGTACAAGAGGATGCGCGCACACTGACCTGGAACACGTAGTCGAGCGAGGTGTGGGCGAAGCAGGACCTCATGGCTGTCAGTGTGTTGTGGGACTCCTCGCACTCCTGGGGCTTGCTCTTCAAGGCCTGGGCATTCCGTAACAATGCATTGTCCATATCGTCACTAATCTTCTCAAAATGTTTCTTTGTCTCCTTGGCTTTCTTGATGTCACTGCAATCAAATTCCTACGTCAGATCGTAATCATCTTTTATTACCCATAGTCAGGGTATGAAAAAAAACAAGTTCATAAAAAAATGTTGTGCACCAGTGGAAATGTGACTTCTCGTGAATCTTATTGTGACGTTGAATCTTATTGTGACGTAAGGTCGAATGACGTCACACTGGAAATGATGTCATAGCTGAAGATTGTTGATGTCATTCGACAAATTGTGGTTTTCTAGGACAACGGTGGTGATCAGTGCATTTTCTAAAGGGGAGCTCATAAGGATGAGGAAAAAATGGGTAATAAAGAATTACTACACTCACATGTGTATCCTGATTTTACAAAACTCGTGCAAGAATTCATGTATTACCCTCAAGAAATACAACAATTCTGACACTCGTTTCGTAAAATCAGTATGACATACATGCTTGTAAAATAATCTCTACGTACAATCAATACAACTGGAATGAATGAGTGTTCACTTCATTATTTATCATACACAAAGATTTAATACTTAAGAACTGACTTCAATATTGTTTTCATTTATGGAGGTATAAACAGTAAAACCAGAGTGCACACTGTCAAAATCAGGATTTATGCAAAATGTGCACACCAGTTTTGATGTTTTTACTTCAAAGAACTTAAAAAGATAATTCTTATCAATAAATATGTCCACAGGATTAACGTCAAAGGCTGCTCATTGAATCATTAACTGTAGACAACAAATTTAAAAAGTGACATCATTCAGCACAATAATGCAATTTAATTATTAAATTGGATATTCAGAAGTCGAAAAACAGAGTTGCCATCTACCTAGTGGTAAAGGTAGTACACAAGGAAATATGACCAGTCCTTCCTTAATTCAACAAATCTCTGACCATGGAGACAAGCGGACCTTGTCCTGCAGTTGTCCTGGTGTGCCCACATGCTCTGTCTTGCCATGGAGTGAGTGAGTTGTGTTTAACAGTATTCCAGTTATATCGGCATGTCAGCTTAATGTGGGAGGAAAGCCCGAAGTGATGCAGGTCTCAGACGTTTACCACTTCGGTGAAACCCACGAGCACGGGTATGGTGCTGACAAACCTAGAAACATAATCGGGGCGAACCGGGATTCGAATCCACAATCATAGGTTTCTGGCGTGCCTAAGGGACACAACTCTGCACAGTGAATCGCGGCGCCTTAGTTGAGTTGAGTTGTGTTTAACGCCGCATTTAACATTATTCCAGTTATATCACGGCGTGTCAGCTTAATGTGGGAGGAAAGCCTGAAGTAATGCAGGTCTCAGACGTTTACCACTTCGGTGAAACCCATGAGCACGGGTATGGTGCTGACAAACCTAGAAACATAATCGGGGCGAACCGGGATTCGAACCCACAACCATAGGTTTCTGGCGTGCCCAAGGGATGCAACTCTGCACAGTGAATCGCGGCACCTTAGACTAGGCCACCCGTGCCCCCTCTTGCCATGGAGACAAGCAGGGAATGGCATTCTACCAGATAGCGATAGTCTGAAGAACAACTTCTACCTCTTGTACCAAACTCCCCTGCCGGTATGGCAATCAATGCTTTCACTTTCAGCAGGCATATTTTAAATTATGGAAGGTCTATTGTTGCTTATTTTTACAAAGGCTGCACTATCAGGAATGCAAACATATGTTACTGTTTTCAAAATGTTGGTTTGTTGGTTAACACCACACTCAGCAATATTCCAGCTAAATGACTGCCGTCTGTAAATAATAGAGTCTGGACCAGACAATCCAGTGATTGACATCATGAGTACCAATCTATGCATCTACGCATATACATGCATCAATGTATACGATGACATGCATCAACCAAGTCTGCGAGCCTGACCACCCGATCCCGTTAATCGCCTCTAACAACAAGCATAGTCACCTTTTACGGCAAGCATGGGTTGCTGAAGACATATTCTACCGCGGATCTTTACGGGTCGTTTTCAAAATGCTGTAGAAACCACAGGTGTTTAATGGTCATTAATTACAGTGAGTGAGTGAGTGAGTGAGTGAGTGAGTGAGTGAGTGAGTGAGTGAGTGAGTGAGTGAGTGAGTGAGTGAGTGAGTGAGTGAGTGAGTGAGTGGAACATCGCTTTAAGCAATATCAGCAATATCACAGCGGATGTCATTTATTATCGAGGTGGGTGGTTGGGGCGGTGAGATTGGTCTTAGGACTGTCTCATATATTGCTTGCCCCCCATTTTAGGCAACAATTTTTATGCATCCCACAAGACTCGCATGTAACTTACTTGCTTCCAATCTCAACATCATATTTTGCATCCTGAGTGAATAATTTTTGTTCAATGATCTACATCTTACTTTTTGATGAAATTGTTGAGATTTTTGCACACAGATCGATGAGCCTGGTCCATGAGTATCTGGAAACAGACAATGTAAGACGCTGAAGCATCTCAAACAGGACAGCTAGATAATGTCACATAATAAATGCTGAATTTTGTGTGTTGTTTTAAGTCAGTCAGCACTTTTACAGCTATGGGCAAAATTAAGAGTTGTTGATAGCATAAACAAGAGTGAGTGAGTATTCCAGCTATATGACAGCGGGGTGTTAATAATCAAGTTTGGACCAGACAATCCAGTGATTGACATCATGAGCATCGATCCACGCAGTTGGTATACGATAACATGCATCAAACAAGTCAGCGAGTCTGACTACCCGATCCCGTTAGTTACCTTTTTAGATAAGCATAGTCACCTTTTACGGCAAGCATGGGTTGCTGAAGACCTATTCTACCCCGGATCTTCACGGGTCTCAAGTATTGTGATGAGTATCAATGTGTTTCATGATAACCCTATTAAACTAACCATTGTCCGACTAGGGAGCTACAATAACAAGTTATTACATCACATAATTACGGAAACAACTGAACTTCTTGATGACATTTTGTTTGCGAATAATGGACAACTCACTGTGAAATATTTGAGCATCTCGGTCATGGCATGAGCAAACCGATTAAGTGACGCCTGAAAACAGAAAGAACTCATGCGACACATGTTCAATTATTTTTGTAGAACAAATGAAAACAGTCTGTCAATGGATAGAAAGATTGGTCTATTGCTGGGGAGCAAGTTCTCCTGAGGATAGAGAGTGAGTGAGTGAGTATGATTTAACGCCGCTTTTAGCAATATTCCAGCAATATCACGGCGGGGGACACCAGAAATGGGCTTCACATATTGTACCCATGTTAGGAATCAAACCTGGGTCTTCGGCGTGATGATTGAACGCTTTACCCACTAGACTACCCGACCGCCCCTCCTGAGGCTAGTGTTAGGTGGGTCCCTGGATCAGGGTGGGATGGGGGAGGGCTAGTTGGTCCGTATATTTGTCTGTATGTTTGTACATTTGATGCTAAACAAATTCTTAATGCCGCACAAAGCAATATTCCAGCTGTAAGTCGACAGTCTGTAAACAATCTAGTTTGGACCTGACAATCTGGCCAGTGTTGATATGAGCAATGACCCGGCCATCCTGGTACCATCAACCAAGTCACAGTGCGACCACCTGATCAGTTAAGTTGCGTCATACAACATCATAAGTTACTTGTGGACCAATTCCAGCTCTGACTCTCAACAGGAACAGGGAGACGGTAGTCTATATCAGACTGCTGTGGTAGCTGAACAACTGGCTAAATATTACACATATACACAACTAATCAACAACCAAATATTTATCAAGAAGCTATCAACCTGTCAGGTGAGCTACAAAATGTAAAGACATAAAGAAATGCAAATCTAAGCTATGCAAACATTCAATACATACAAAATGCATTCAAAATAGATTCATGAAGTCAAGACCGATGATCTGTGCAAGACATGCAAGAGTTTCAGAAAGTGTCTGCATGCATGCAAGACTATGGTGGCATTCTGATCTGCACCAGCATGGTGTAGTGGAGACAAGACTCAAAGGAACAGATGAAATGTCTAGAAACCATTCAGTATTCAAATGCCTGCATACACCCAGTTCCTATATTTCTCATCTGATGTGACCATTATTGGTTACTAAGGTCCTCTTGGAATCCAACTGGGCACTGCCTCTCCTATATAACTAGGTCAGTGATGAAGTCAAACAACATCTATGTAATGTTCCTGAACAAGTTTTATCTGAAACAAATTAATCCAAGGACACAGTCAAACATTAAACGAGAGATTTTGTCCAAGGACACAGTCAAACAAGGGAGAATCTGTCCCAGGATACAGTCAAACAAGTGGGAATCTGTCCAAGGATACAGTCAAACAAGGGAGAATCTGTCGAAGGGTACAGTCAAACAAGGGAGAATCTGTCCAAGGGTACAGTCAAACAAGGGAGAATCTGTCCAAGGATACAGTCAAACAAGTGGGAATCTGTCCAAGGATAGTCAAACAAGGGAGAATCTGTCCCAGGATACAGTCAAACAAGGGAGAATCTGTCCAAGGGTACAGTCAAACAAGGGAGAACCTGTCCAAGGATACAGTCTAACAAGGGAGAATCTGTCCCAGGACACAGTCAAACAAGGGAGAATCTGTCCAAGGGTACAGTCAAACAAGGGAGAATCTGTCCAAGGATACAGTCAAACAAGGGAGAATCTGTCCCCGGATACAGTCAAACAAGTGGGAATCTGTCCAAGGGTACAGTCAAACAAGGGAGAATCTGTCCCAGGATACAGTCAAACAAGGGAGAATCTGTCCAAGGGTACAGTCAAACAAGGGAGAATCTGTCCAAGGATACAGTCAAGTGGGATCAAATCAAATGAGAGCACAATCAAATGTCATAATAAGGAACATCTGATCAAGTACACAAAGAATCAGAAAGGAATTCATCCAATGACACAGCCACCTTCCAATGAGAGCATCTGCCCAAAGACACATTTAAACAAGGGAGAATCTGTTCAAGGATATAGTCGAACAAGTGGGAATCTGTCCAAGAGCCCAATCAAATGTCAAAGAAGGGAGCATCTGTCAAGGATTTAGTCAAACAAGGACAAAGACAAATAAGGGAGACTATGATGACAGTCAAACAAGTGGGAATCTGTCTAAGGATACAGTCAAACAAGTGGGATCAAATCAAATGAGAGCACAATCAAATGTCTAAAAAAGGAGCATCTATTCAAGGATATAGTCAAATAAGGACACAGTCAAACAAGGGAGAATATGGAGGCAGTGAATCAAGTGGGAATCTGTCCAAGAGCACAATCAAATGTCACAATTGGGATTATCTGTTCAAGGACACAAAGAATCAGAAAGGAATTCATCCAAGGAAACAGTCAACCTTTCAACGGGAGCATCTGTCCAAGGATATAGTCAAACAAGCACACAGTCAAACAAGGGGGACTCTGTCCAAGGAGACAGTCAAATGTCAGGGATTTTCATCCAAGGAGAGATTCAAACAAGATCTATTTCACTGCAGTTCAAACATGCCACACAAAAGTGGTATAAACTGTTTCGAAATGAATTTTCAATTTAAAGAACACGTAATCAAAGGGAGGTAATATTATGGTTTTGACATTCTTATCTCCCTTTGACCAAGCTAACCTCATAAAACATCTCTCATAAAGCAATACCTCACGTCGGCTCAATTCTATCAACTTTTGATGATATAATGAAAAGGTTGATGTTTTCACAAGAAACTGCAACCTCAAAGAACAAATAAAATGTGAAGTCAATTGTTTGCAGTACTGAAACAGAATCCGACAAGATCACCAAGAGGGCTTCACAAACTGAAACGAGTCGAACCCAGGTCGTCTGATAGATGAGGAGATTGTACAGCCTCTAGGCTACCTCACCCAGGACTTCTTGTCGGTGAGATGGTATAAGCACTAGGCTGTCCCACAACTGCACAATGCTAAATGTTAATTCCTACTGAGAGTAACTGAATGAGAAATGATAGAAACCAAACTGAAGCTAATTAACATGAGACCTTTACCCTCCAACCACAACCTTGACCTTGATAAGCCCCAACCAGGAAAGGGTTCTATTCTACTAAAAAGAAATAACCGGCAAAAAGCGGATGAAGGACTACATTTTAATGATGATCATGGTGATAGTTGCCCACACATGACACTACAGCGTGGCTGAATGGATTCCGAATGTTTCTAATTAACAGCTGAATAATAACAAGCTATTCCTAGCCAGTGTTAGATATTAATGAGGTCCTTGGGCACTGTAGTCTATTAATATCTAGGGACCCGCTTAGATAGATTGATTTCAAACAGTACTACCACTGAGACTTCTCCACATCTGAACACCCTTAATGCCCACCCGAATACCCTTAATCCCCACCTGAACATCCTTATTCCCCACCTGAACACCCTTAATCCCCACCCAAACACCCTTGATCCCCACCTGAACTTCCTTATTCCCCACCCGAACATCCTTAATCCCCACCTGAACATCCTTAATCCCCACCCAAACACCCTTGATCCCCACCCAAACACCATTGATCCCCACCCAAACACCCTTAATCCCCACCTGAACATCCTTATTCCCCACCTGAACACCCTTAATCCCCACCCAAACATCCTTATTCCCCACCTGAACACCCTTAATCCCCACCTGAACACCCTTAATCCCCACCTGAACATCCTTATTCCCCACCTGAACACCCTTAATCCCAAACCCAAACACCCTTAATCCCCACCTGAACACCCTTAATCCCCACCTGAACACCCTTAATCCCCACCAAAACACCCTTAATCCCCACCCGAACATCCTTATTCCCCACCTGAACACCCTTAATCCCTACCCAAACACCCTTAATCCCCACCTGAACATCCTTATTCCCCACCTGAACAGCCTTAATCCCCACCTGAACACCCTTAATCCCCACCTGAACACCCTTAATCCCCACCCCATCCCCAACACCATTTGATATGTATTACTTTTAACGTTTAAGAAATGCAAGGAAAATTCCTGAAAATATGCCCCTGTTCACAAAATCAAGTTGTCAGAATTAAACAGAGCTACAGATAACTTTTTGAGCAATTGAGTTTTTACTCTAGGGTTTCTATTTTAATTGGGTTATTACATTTTTCATTGGGTAACCAATATTTTTTCACTCATCTATTCATCACTCTATTGGGTTTTACACAAAATGAGTGAACATTTTGAGATTTAAAAAAAAATGAAATAATGTTTTAGATGTATATAACGGTTCTGATAGGCTTGCCTCGGAAAGTAAAATTAGCTCGTAATTGTGTATAGAAAATTAGCTCCATTGTACACATGCTGAAAAAGCTTCATCAGGTATTTACACGTGCTGTTTTCAAACAATTAAGTTTTTCATTTAATGCATGCGTTTCTGTACGCAAGTTAATTGAAAGTAATTGGGGTTTGAATATTTTGGGGGGGTATTTTACGCAAATACGCAGCTTATCTGTAGCTCTGATTAAACAAAGGTATACAGAATTAATAAAACAGGAGAATGATCATGAATGTTTTTGACATTTTCATCTGAGAAAGTCTGACCTAGGGAAACAAATCAGGAAATTACATGCATATCAACATTTGCAGCTGAACCAGCCTCTAAGATCATGCCGCCATACAAACTAGCATCCATTCTCACGCACCCTCTGTTATCCAGTGTATTGTGTCCACGATCTATTATGATGTCATCACACTGTTCTTTAATGACAATGTAAACATATTTCCAGTACTAGAATTGCATTGTTGCATGATGTCTCAATTACAGTGTGTGAGTGAGTGAGTTGGGTTTAACGCCGCTTTTAACAGTATTCGTAATAACGCAGCATGTCAGCTTAATGTGGGAGGAAAGCCCGAAGTGATGCAGGTCTCAGACATTTACCACTTTGGAGAAACCCACGAGCACGGGTATGGTGCTGACAAACATAGAAACATAATTGGGGAGAACTGGGATTCGAACCCACAATCATAGGTTTCTGGTGTGCCCAAGGGACGCAACTCTGCAGAGTGAATCGCTGCGCCTTAGACGACTGGGCCACCGTCTCAATTACAACATGGAATGTATGACT